ACCCGTTTGCATTTTCGCTCGTTGTTTCTACTGAGTACGATGAAAAGTTACGCGAAAGTAGAAAACGCCCAAGCTTAGTTCATGCCGTGAGTATCCGAGGATAGAGGTAATCAGTGGCGTCCTATCCTCAGTCTTGATGCTTTGGTTGTTTCTACCAAGACGGCATGCCTAACCGGAGACACTCACCGAGCGACCCGTCGCGCTCAGTGCCTCAGCTTGAATTTAATTTTTTTAGAGAAAAACTAATATCACTTTCTCGTCGTATTAGTCAGGCTCCGATTGTAGAGAGCAGCGTTGGGTTCACGGCGTGCTCAAATTTTGATGTCTAACAACCGATGGTCACCTATTAGATCCTTGTTGTGGATGTAGGATTAATTCGGACCACCCTCTATTTTTCAGCGTGGAAGCGAAATCTCGGTTAAAGGACGACTAAAGAATCAACTAGCTCTCGCCAGATCGCAGCTACCTGGGCCGAGATTTGAATACGCCAACTGTGAAGGTTGAATTAAAACCGAGTTGCCTTCATTAAAAATTTAAGTTAGATTTTAATATGAGAAACGGAATGAACTAAGCTGTAGTGGGGAGCAGGCAGCCACGCTCAAGGTCTTCGATCGCTTCGAATTGAAACTGAGCAACCAAAGAATAAAACGATAGCCCTTTGTTCTCCCCATTTTCGATGACTCAGAATCTCGGCTTTTTTTTTTTTTCGATGGGGCTGTCAAGTCTTGTTTTAAAGACTATAAAATAAAACACCGAGTCTAAAATCACTGGTAGATCAAGAAAGGCGGCACTTGGCGAGTCTCGGACATCTAATTACCGCTCCTCAGCCAATGAGACCGCGACGTTAGCCAATCAGAACGGCGAAGAACGAATCAAGAATCAAGAAGCCGGATCATAATGTGTCCTGTTCCTAGTCCGCTTCACACCCCAGTCCGAGCACAGTCGATGCTACGATCCGATGGCGCCTGTCAAGCAGCGTCAAAAGCTCCTCGTCACTGCTCTCGTCGTTTTTGTTGGTTTTCAATCACTGGTTAAACCAATCACGCAAAGATAAAAGAGCAGAATTACGGCGTGTTTAGTGTGCCGGACTGGTTTACCCGGTGATGGCGAGAAAACAGAGAGTACGAGCGCCGAGACGATTTTATTTTCTTATCTACGTATTTATTGCCTTCGTATCCCACGGAGGTTTCATAATAAAAACAGAAAAAGTTTTTCACACATGCGAAAAACACGGTTTTTCAAAGCAAAAAGTATGCACTTTTGAAGCAGCTTCGTAACGTCGGCTCTGCTCGGACGACGTAAAACTGAGCATACTATGCTTCGTTTCAGCTTCGGTCCGAGCGCGGCCGATGTTATGAGCCGAAGGGCCAATCAAACAGCGAAAGAGGCACAACGTCATGGGGTGCTCTCTGCAGTTGATAGGACCAGAGGCCGGATTCTCAAAAAACATCTTATCTTACGAAATCTTAGCCAAGAAGTTCGTAACTTAAGAAGTTCGTAAGATCAGCCGAAATCGGTATGCTCGAAAGGCTTCTTAGCGTGTTCTTAGCTGCGAACTAGGGAACGACCAGGGAACGACAGAAGGCGCGAGAGGAGCGAGAGAAAGAGAAGCTTCCGGTGTCTCGTAACCGACGAGAACAAGCGAGAGGGGTGTGTTGCTATGGCGATTCTGACGACAATAACACTTTTGGTTTGATAGTACCACGTGTAGTTGAGATCTGATGGCGTCTCCACCACCCGTCAAAAAGAGCCGAAAGGCCAATTTTTCGGACAACGAGCTGTCGGCTCTGGTAGACGGATACGAGCAGCGCAAAGTGGCGATTGAGGGAAAAGGGAACACCGCGCATGGCTCGATTGCCAAGCAGCGGGCTTGGGAACAAATTACTCGCGATGTGTTCGCAGTTTCCGGCATCCGAAGAGAAGTGGCCGACATAAAAAAGAAATGGGCCGATGTCAAGAGCATCAACAAGAAGCGGGGTAAGTCAATCCTCAAGTTTTGGAGTTCGCGAACTTAAATGATACGATATGCTTTGTACTAATGTAAGAGGCAAAATGTTCGGCGCTAGCGCTGAGTCAACGCACGAGCACATTTTACTCTTTCACAATAGTGCTTTTAATAATGTTGTTGACATTAGACGCGCTAGCGGAGATGACTTAGCTAGATGCATCATTCTTTTGAGAACATTTGTTTTATGCTGTCATACACTGTGGAAGGTTCCCGCCTTCTGTTAGCTACGAGGGAGGTTTTAGCAAGCGTGTAGTGACAACTAACAGTGTTAAACCAGTTCAATTTTGCTCGAGATATTAGCTGGTGTCCGACACAGAAAAATGTCGCGAAGTTTGAGGTCATCCTTATGCACGTTCGAAAGGCATACCTGTTGCCCAAAAGCCTTGGCTAGGCAATGAAAACCGGTGATCGAGCAGTCGCGCTTACAGCAGCCTCCTTTGTCTGCTACGTTATTTAATACTGACACAATACGCAGGTGCAGCCGTGAAAAAAAGTCAGTGTGCCACTGGAGGCGGCGTAGGCGACGAGCCCCTCAACGAGATGGAGGAGAGAATCGTGGGGCTGCTCAACGTGGAGTCGGTGGAGGGCATTCCAGGCGCCTTTGACATTGGCGTTGCCCCAATTCAAGAGGTGTTTGTGGGTGTGCCCTTCTCCCTGCCACTCTCGGGTAGGTTTGCACAAGCCTGGATTAAACACTACCTTTCTTCATTAATGGTTGGCCCAGAATTATGTAGTTAAAACATTATTAGCAGCCTACCATGTGCGTGTCGCGTTTGTTGCTTTTCTTGGTCAAACTAATTTTTAAATACAAATTTTCAAGGTACTCCTGCCAGGCCGAGCTCAGCAAAGCCAGTTCCCTCAGCTGGTGAGTTAGCAAGGGTTCTACTTCCATTGCAAAATATAAAATAATAGTGCCGTCCAAGCAAACTACCAGTTAATTTGTATGTACCCGCCTAGTATGTACCTGTCACGTTTGTTGCTTTTCTTGGTCAAACTAATCTTTAAATACAAATTTTTAAGGTACTCCTGCCAGGCCGAGCTCAGCAAGGCCAGTTCCCTCACTTGGTGAGTTAATAATGTGGGCTGATTAGTTGCATGGTTAATGTTCCTCTTCATTACTGCTCTTCAAACAATCCCCGTAACCTCCAGTTTTGAATTATCAATCGGGTAGCTGATTATCCAAGTGATTTGGACTGGGACCCACATTGTATGGACAAGCAGTACGTTACTGTCTTCCCAAACACTGTTTGCTGGATCCGTACAGTGCATTTCTGGATCTTGTTTAAGGCACCACCATAACGGCAAGCAGGTCCACGGTTTTTACCATAGAAATCATAACATTACTTATAATGGTTATAATTACATTACCTAATCACAACCTTTTCGGTCATTCAACCTGGTTGGTAGTCAACGAATACGGTGGCCGCCAGGTGCAGGTGTTGCTGGTTGAGCAATCAAGCTTAGTTGGTACAACTTCCTGCAATCTCTCAGTCCTGTGTTAGCATTTTTTCCATGCAGAGCCTGTATTTCCTAACAGCAAATATTTCGGTACTCAAGGCTGTTGGCTTTTCTATTTAGATAGCCAAGAAGCGAGCACAAGTGGCCAACCAGAAGTGGGCGACATGTTGGCCCACTCTTCGGGAAATCCAAAGTCACGCCAAGAAAGTGAGTAGCAATCCTAAATGCTGCTAGATGCAGACCACACCATGCAGCAATACGAACATAACACTTAATGCAGAACCAAAATAGATATGTTGCAGCATCTGATCAAAACAAGCGTTCAAGTCCATAAAAAAAAAAAAAATCTCCACTGTCAAAAGGAACAGAGTAGAAATTTGTGCTGCTTATAACTATTAAGGTGCAAGTTCTCTCATTAGCAACTTGTGATGATGATTCGTGCATGCTTCCTGTAGTTAGATATGGCCTGCATAGTTAATGCAATAAATGCAGGCAAGCTGGATAATAAGAACCAATAAATATTCCCTGAAGGGGACAAGGGACAAACACAAATCTCCAACAGCAGCTATGTGATTTGTGCGTGGCGCTGGTTTCATAGCTATATAATGGAAATGTGACAATGCAGTGGTGTGACCGCTTTGAACCGTGCAAACATCTTTTCCGTCGTCTGCAGGGATCAAGGAAGACCCCACACAAAAGATCATCGAGGGTCAACAGGCTATCACAGCCCGCTTGGATAGGCTTGTGGAGCTGCACGAGCAGATGGTGGCTCTAAAAGCTTACAAACTTAATGTATGTTTTCAAAATGGAAAAATTGTTCCAAAATATGAATAAAAGGGCACTTGTATAGAACAGCAATACATTGTTTCTTTATTACACGAAGTTTCTGGTGTCACCGCTGATCTCTACAATGATTTTCTGGATCGCTTCTTCCTCCTTGTAGCGCAGGTGAATCCACCGGAAGTTCTCAATCGGCCGTCTTATGCCATGCAAAAGTCAGCCGAGCGTAGTGCCGTGAAGACTAGTACATCCATGGAAAAACCCATTTTGAGCTTCATCACCGTCATGATTGAAAAGTTTCATGATGTTCTTGGAAACTAGCCACTGCATTTCCAGTGGCTAGTTTCCAAGAATTGCTAATAAATTATAGGCTGCACAAACATGCTTTCTCGATGAGCCTCCACAACTGCGTGCATGTCCCGGCAGCAGCCATCTGCCATCTCGCCCATCTGCCGAGTTGAACGTTGTTGGCAGTGTACCGTATCTGCGGCAGCCTAAAGGCATTGCGACAGGTAAACTTATTTGAATATGCTATTCGTCGTAATTTACCTTCACGTATTGCAGTGTCACCGAATCCAATTATTTTGCACCGCAACCGTGGCAGGTTCGACAAAGCGTTGGTGCAGCAGACGACAGAGCCAGCACAAAGGGGAGGGATAAGAATGGGGAAGCCGTTGGCTCGTCGCTCACCCGACTCAACTGCTCAAAAGTTGTTGCCGTGGTAACCTGCGCCTGCTCGCGTATGCCACGTGGTAGCGGGAGGAGTGGCATACCAAAAACTCCCATTATTTCTCGCACGCGCGGGCTTTTGGGATTTTTGAAAAGGGTCTATTGAGAACTTCCAGTGGCTTCACCCCCGAAGTGGTGATGCGTGATCCAGAAAATCGTCGGAGATCAGTGGGTGTCATCTACACCCAGTGATCGCTTTTGTGCTTTCATAAGCTTTCACTTGAATACTTCGTTAACAAGGTTTCTCCTTACAACAATGCCAGCAGGCGTGTCCCTGGCGGTGCTCGGCCTGTCTTCTTCGTCTTCTTCCTCCTCCTCCTCCTCCTCATCGGATTCCACAACTGTAAAAAAAAAGTGAATTTGATGTTGGTGCTTATACGGCGTAAGTTTGATCTGCCATTGAAGGGCAACACTGGCTTACGCTATAGATCCAGCAATTTAGTCAGTTTAGTAAAACTGCTTGCATGGCATCTTCAGCGTGCACCACGCAGTAGTGATACATGACCACACCCCAGTACGAGCCGCAACCACAACGAAAGGGGTGGGTATTTGAGCCAAGATTTCTGTGTTCTGCTGCACAAGCTTTCGCTCCACATGCTACGAGCTGGTGTGCACTTAGCCCACTCGGCCCCCAATCATTCACCACCCGCTACTGTTCAGAAAGTCGTAATTTGCACAGCAGCAAAAGGACATCTCAAGATTTTCAAGCATGATTATAATACAACAGTAACTGAATAATAACTGCAGAAAACACATTCTGAGAACAGTCCTAATAAATTATAGGCTTCACAAATTTGTCCAAAGGCTCGAATTAGAGTACACGTGCTGCATTAGCTACTGTTGCTTAATGTGCTGGCTGAGCTCCCCTGGCAGACTTTCCGTCAACATGTCATGAATGGTATTCTATATTCTGCTTCACCCGATCCTCTTATGAGAGGAACTCACAATCTCAATGTATAGATGCTTCAATTTCAGAAGAAAGGCAGGCGACTAAAACAGCCGCTTCCACTTGCTAGCTTCAATGGCTCAACAACAACATTGTACCCACCAACAGAAAGGGCAGGTTTACCTCATAAACCAATTCATGTTTACAAACAAACCGGAGCGCCCCTAGCAGATGCCACCGACGCAACACTTGCGCGATGGAGTGTGGCCAAGAAGCTCACCGTCACCCATAAACAAACCATTGAAATGCAATGTTGTCGGCGTCGGTGTGAGTCCCCCAGCCCTTTTTCGCATTCGAATTGTTGATTCTATGTCCTCCTGGCGATGTCTGACTGCTTGAGCGGCCTCAGAGAAATCACCGAGGCTCGTTACACCGTAAAACGTTGCGTGAATAATGTGACATGCGGCGATTCATTCTGCGCAGACGCCACAGAATGTACGCCAAGGCCTGATTCGCATGATGAGATTTCACTCGCAATTTTCAGTCACGTCGTCGCTCGGGCTGCGAAAGTGTGAACCGTAGCTGAGATGGTCGACATCGATACTGAAAATCGCAAGCAGAATCGGACCAAGTGAATCAGGCATTAACAAGTCGGTGATGGCCACTGGTAACAATTAATATCTCCTTGTATCTACTGTTTGCATCAAGACTGCTTACCAACCTCCAAACTCGAGTCTTTTGAGGTCTGCACTTACTTCTTATCGCAAGTACCGGACCAATATTTGGTCTACGAGCCGGTGTAGTCTAAAAGAGCAGAAGACAAGCAGAATCGTTTGAAAGAGCAGATGACGATTCGAACGATTAGGCGGCCGTTTGAACTTGAAGACGCACTGAACGTAGTTTGCAGGTGGTCCGTACAACATGACGGTTTTCAGGCGTTCATGTTGGAACAAAACAAATAAATCTGATGACCACAAGTATTCGTGAATTCAACCCAAATTGCTACCCGCCCAAGCAATCGTGGGTCGACGGCATCTGGTTTTCCCTTTTCACGGCACATTTCCACGTTCTCGGACGAACCGAGTACATGAAAACTGACCTTTAAACCTTTCTCAACCCTTTTGGTACAACCCCAGTCGCGGCATTTTGATGAGAAGGCAGGTTTTTTTTTGTCTGGTTCCTTTCAAAACAATGCAGGAATACACGTCTGACATGGGGACTTCCGCCCACAGCTTCAGACCGGAAGTGCGCCTGGCGCGCCACCACCACGCCGTGACGTAACAGAGATGAGTTTGCGTATACTAGATCAGGCTCACAATTTAAGAATAATGACTGTTCCATCAGGCTGCACAGACTATTCAAAGAGTTCCAGCTAACAGAAGTATCTCGCAGGCCTACGAGTGTAAAAGCCGGGCTCATTTAGTCGTCTGTACACTGTATGTTTGAAAAATGTGGCCCCATGGCAGCTGAAACGTCCACTGCAAAGTATCTTGCTGGCCTCCGCCTGTGCGGTCTGGCAGCTAGTGACGAAATATGGTCTTGTTCCAACATTGTAATTCACGGACATCCTCTGCAGAGGCATTGAGAATCATTTTCATCCCACTGGAACTGCCCCCAAAGTCTAGAAAATACATTGCTATCCGAGTTCGGCGAGTCTCCAGATGACTGACAATTTTGTCCTGGAAAACATCACTCATATGGGTTAAATGAGCCTTATCCATTTCATATAGAGCAGTGTCAGTTTTGCAAAAAAGCACAGCGTACGCACTACTCCGCAGCTACGGCCGTTTCTTTGGTAACCTGTTAAGCGTCACGTAACAAATCTTATAACGTGGCACTTAATGGGTTACTAAACCTAAAACTATTCTGCCAGTGGAGAGCTTCTAAAAGAGATTATAGTCAAAGCTGTAGTCAGCTCAGCTTAGCTGCCCCTCTGCAATCCTGTGACAAGAAAAGTGGGCGAACCTTCTGCAGAACCCAAGTCCAGAGTTACAGCAAACAATGCTTTCACCAGCCTCATTCATGTGATATGACCAGGTGATTAATGCATAAACTCTTCAGAGAACATGTCTTTCTTACCTGGTGGATCTGTGAGGGAGACATGGTGCCGGATGCAGTAATTGTGGAGGACCACACACGCCACGATAATACGGCAGCACACGCTTGGGGTGTACTGTAGGACCCCTCCGGACCTGTCGAGACACCTGAAGCAGTGGCGTAGTAAGGAATTTTGTTAATTCAGTATTTACTGTTAGTGATGACTATATGAAGTTTATGCAGCCCCCAGAACCCTTTTGCACTCCTGTCTATTTACTGCTCCTCGAAGTCCCTGCTTTTATATGCGTTCCCCCCATTGCCTGCATTTCCGATTTGACTATACCGTAGTTCATACTTTGTGTGATCCCACTTTCAGCGTATATGTTGTGCTGAGGTGCAATCCAAAGGCACCAAAGTAAAGAACAGGTCAGGCTCAGTCATTATGCAACTTTCACTGAACTATCAGACGAAGAGGAGCAATCATAAGTATGGCTGTCTAACATGCTGAAGCAACACTATATGTTCTCGGATTCCAGCTAGTACTGCACGATGCTGGAAACCAAACTTCTCTTCCAAGATAGCCTTTATGGGGAGTCTGCTACAGCCAGGCACATAGCCAGGCGGGTAAAGGGGGGGAAAGGGGAGGTGCCAGCAAAACTGGAGGACTTTGAAGAGGACCCAGATCAGGCTACCTGGGCCTTCTCCCTGGATATGTGCCTAGCTCCAACTAGTTTTTTGGTCTCCAAGTGGGAACAGTGTTAACTGCACCCTTTTAGCATGAGGGTAGAGAAATAAAATAGGGAAAAAAAAAAAAAAGAACTGTTTTTGTTTTACGCCGCACATGCAGAAAGGAGAGAAGGTAGTTCTGAGGAAATTTCAGAACAAGTTTTAACTCCCAAACTAAGACTCTGCTGACGCTACTGACCGGAAGCGGGACTTCAATATCCCGAATGTCCTCTCTATAACTTGACGCGTCTTGGTGAGGCACATGTTGTAGGCTTCTTCGCCCTCTTCCTCCTTCGGCTTGCGAAATGGCGTCATCAGCCATGGCTGCAGGGGGTAGCCTGCATCCCCTAAAATATTAAAAATAATATGAGATATCACGTAAAACCATGCATAAGTAATACAATAGATATGACTGCTTGGGGTTTGGGCTTGCAAACAAAGCGCTCCAGCAATACCTGAACTGGTAACCAAAGGGTTGCAAGTTCGTCTCCCAAGCTCTGCCGGTTTCGACATGAACGGGCATTCTGTTTGCGTGGATTTGTAGATCACTACTACGAGGGGCACCCTACAACTTCCAGGACGGCAGACCTGCAGCGCTCGCCCGAAATTCCCCACTACAGCTGTAGTACATTTCCAGACTTGAACAGATGGAAGCTCACTACAGTAGATAACGAGAAGAGATTCATGGAAGAAAGCTGCATCGGTTTAAGCTTAATTCCTTCCTAACTTGTTAGTGGACACGCAAGTAGCACAAAGGAAATGACTGGCTCCCTTTGTCCTGGTTTAACTTATTATATATTTAACTAATAATTATCTAGGAGTTACACTAAAATGTGCAAGCTGGCTCAAACCTTTGCCAAGATCCAAATGCAAAAAAGGCTGGATACCAAGAGGCTACGAAGCATATGGTCGTTCAGCCTGTCAACTATTAAATACTCATATGAAATCCAAATTAAAATATACCTACCCAGCAACCAGCCATCGGGCATGACCCCAGCCTCGAACTTCTCCGACAAGTCGCAGTTGCGCCACATAAAACTGTCATGCGTGCTCCCCGGCCACTTCACTGTGAGCTGTGTGATTTCGTTCGACGCATTGCAGACCGCTTGCACATTCAGGGAGTCGTATCCTTTCCTGTTTCGGTAGATGTTCTGGTCCTTCTTCGCAATCTTGAGGGCGATGTGCGTGCCGTCGATGCACCCCAGCACCTTGGGGAATCCATTGATTTCCGCAAAGCCTACAGATTAAAACAACGAAGTGTTCAACATTCTGTGAAGCAGTGGACATCTTGGATATTTTATTTACCACATTACAATATATACAAAAATTGGTCTATCAAAGAGATGACCTCTAAATACTCATTCATACCTCAATTAAAGCACTATCGCACCCATTTAAACACTATTACCAAAAAAAAAAGAAGGGTTTTTGGGGGGGGGGGGGGGGCAAAGAGTGCTTTTGTTAGTTGTCATGGGCATTGCATGAACAATGCATTGCTGACTGAGAGTCTCGGCGACCATTCCACACAATGCCGTTGCTCACGTCAATCTATACAACTTCGTTCGCGTCAATGAAAGTTACACTCATTAGGGTCATGCGGGATGCACTCACTTGATCGAATGACGTTTTAGCGAACGCCCACGTTCCCCCCGACTAAAGCTGATCAGGCTGAGTAAACGCGCTAACAATTCGCACTGAAATAAAATAACAGGGGTAACTAACGAGCACGACATTGGGAAAACACTTACCGCGTGCAGTACGCATTGCTGCCTGCGGGGTCACGGGGAACTTGATCCCTTTTTCAGCAAAGTTGCAGAGCGCGCTGCTCACCGAGTTTATAATGCGCGAAGCACTCGTCTGGCTCATATTCCCCACGTCGCCCACGACCGACTGAAAACTGCCGCTCGCATAGAAGCGAAGCGCCAGTAGTACTTGGGCGTCCACGGGGAGCGCACAGTTCCGAGCCGTCGGACGGCGGAGCGCAGGTGCGAGCGCCTCGCAGAGTCTCTCCATGGCAGGCCTCGGGAGACGGTAGTACCTCGCCAGATGGTTATCGGCGATGGTGTCGAGTGTCCGAGGAGTGCGGAACACACGTTGCTGCCGTAGATTCCGCTCCGCGTCGCGCTGCTGCTGAAGTAGGTAGACGACGTACGCGGCAGCCATTTTGGTTGAAAGTCGCCAAAATGTTCGTAAGATCGATCGGACCCCTGTCGTAGGATTTCGTCTTAACTTACGCAAAACTTACGAACATTTTGCTTCGGGAATACTCAAAAGTTCGTAACTTTGTCGTAAGATAAATTTACGAACTTTTTTGTCGTAAGAACGTTTCGGGAATCTGGCCTCAGATGCTATTCGCCGTCTCTCTGTGCGCGCTCCTCCGCCGGCTAGTCCTATCAAGCGCAGAGAGCACACCATGACGCTGCGCTTTTTGCGCTGTTTGATTGGCCGTTCGGCTCATAACATCGGCCGCGCTCGGTCCGAAGCTGAAACGAAGAATAGATACTTTGCTATAATGCAAAAAAGCAAAAAAAAAAAAAAAGAAGCGCGCTTTATGTTTTTTTTTTGTTTGTTATTTTTTGTTTTGACAATCCGCAAGTTTCTGTTTTGTTATTGTTCTGAAGGAAACAAGACCTACAAAAATGTTGGGAAACGACACCAAAGGCTTGACGCTGACCATGAACCCGGTTAAGTTCTTCAGCGAGCTCCAACAGCTTGGAGACCCCCGTACTCGAAACTTCACGCTGGTAATGAACCCGCTCTTCGTGTTCCCGCTATTCATGGCCTACCTCTACTTCGTCAAAGTGGTCGGTCCACGGTGGATGAAGGACAAGGAACCCTTCCAGATCATCAACCTCATCCGCTTCTACAACCTCGCGATGGTCCTCCTCAACGCGAGGTTTCTCTACATCGTCCTCACCTGCACCTATCTTCCGGGAGGTGAATACACCCTCTGGTGCCAGGGGATCACGGGCCGGAAGACAAAACAGTTGGCCGGCTTGTACAAAGCTGCGTCCTGGTACGTCGCCGTGCGGTACGCCGACTTTCTTGACACCGTCTTCTTCGTCCTGCGCAAGAAGTTCACGCACATCACGCATCTGCACGTCATCCACCACACCATGGTGGCGGTGAACGCGTAGTTCTGGGTATTGTTCGCTCCAGAGGGTCAGCCCGCCCTGGGACTCGCCATCAACGCGTTCGTCCACGTTGTCATGTACGCCTACTACTTCCTTGCCACGCTAGGTCCGAATGTCAGGCAGTACCTCTGGTGGAAGAAGTACCTGACCACGATGCAGATTGTGCAGTTTGTCATCTTCATCGGGCACATGTCCATCCCGCTCTTCGTGGACTGCGGTTTCCTGAGGCACCTCATTCACGTGGCCATTGCTCAGACGGTTCTTATTTTAAGTCTCTTCGTAAACTTCTATTTCCAATCGTATATGAGACGAAGAGGTCCCAAACTGACAAATGGTCAAGTCGATCTTGCTCAGCATACGAATGGCAAGGCCGTCAACGGAAAGTGCGATTAGTGAGGTGAAAGTCGCGTGACTGAGTCTAAGGAATGAACACACAAGTATATTCATGATTCCTTTCATGAGCCATGCAGTGACATGCTTGAGGCAGTTCAATCATATCATTGTCTCAGTAGCTCAAGTAGTGTACTAATGTTTCTGATCGGGTATTTAAGACCTTTGAAGACGGCCGAAAGTATCTGCTTGCTTGGTTCTAATAACATCGGTTTATTAGATCCAACGCGACCTTATTTCGGAACAACTGATCGAGGTAGGCCAGATTAACATGTGAAATACAGGACGGTATGCTGTTATCGAATTTGTGCTACGATAGACAAAGGGTCTTGCAAATATTTCGAGAGAATACGCCGACAAGTGCACGCTGATGAGTGGCGCCTTCACCTGCTCAGCTGTAGTTATGGATGGAGGACTGTTTTTATCGCCACGTTCGCCAACTAGTCACACCTTAGTCATATTGTCTTTTATTGTGAATAATTCAATCGTTCATAAATTGCAGCGGCCGGAAAAATATGAAGCACCTCATTGTTAACGTACTACATGCTACAAAGTTTTGCTTTGAAATAAAAACAGTTGAAAATTTTACGGTACTCTCACAGACCATATTTCAAATATCTTTTATTTTGGAAAAAGTATTCAACAGATTATAAAAACGCCACTAATGTATCATGTTTCCTTCCTACACGCTTTGAACTTGTAATTTTTTTTTAATGTTTCTTTGCCGAACGTAGATCAACAGCTTCTTTCGGGTAGTAACTTTGAGCTTTGCAACAGGGCATGAAGTCCCATCCGTGATGTTCTTATCAACCAAAAGTGTTTCTGTTGACGTAGTACTTCACATAATTTCATATCAACATTCACCCGTCACGGAAAATCTCATGACTTCACCATTTTCAATCATAATCATGCAATCAAATGAATAAAAACACTGAACGTTGAAGGCACCATTTGTACTGTTACATGGGTGGATACATAAATAAAACATATACATATTGAGCAAGACTATTTCGTACAAAAACGACTGCACACGCACAGGTAAGTTTATATACGTGCGCTGAAACTTGAGTTGGAAGAATCACCGACAGAAACCATTCCTCACCGTATAAGATTACCGGGAAGTATTCCGACCCTATTCGAAATAACTAATTAAGGAAACCGAGGCGTTTAATCGATAATAATGTTTATTAATTTTTGAAGGCTCGAGTGAGAATTGCATAATAAAATGGGCATATATGAAATAGCAGTCATCACAACGGGACATAACATTAAACTAATTTCAACGTAGTCACTAGGGCTATACAGGAAGAGAGTATAGTAATGAAAATGTAATAGTCTTTTAGAAATAAATATAGTTACTAATTGGTTTCAGCTCTCATAACCAATTGTAACGTAAACATTTGATAAGAAACAATGGATAAGGAACTTGCGCGTGATTTCCAAGAATATTCGAAGCGACGAAAAATAAGGTCATGAGTCGATAGTAAATTTTATCTGAGTGTTCCGTTGTGACTCTGCGGCGGCAAAAAGGGTGCCTAGTTTAGTTGGCTGACGTAGTTCTTATTTCTCAGTGCGATAATTACAATGCATTAAGTGAAATGCTCTGTTTTGAGCGGATTCCGGATTGTTAGATTAGTATTCCTTGAGAACAGCGTTGACGAGATTAATGTATAGCGACGCCTCTTCTACCCCAAATAATAAATCTGATTACGCGGTGACTTCAAAAATATATCTTAAATAATAGCACCTACAATTGTAGCACAAACTACGACAGTAACACGAAATGTGTCACTTCGAACCACTCCTGGCAGTTTTCAAGAAAGTAGGGCAACTCCCGCACGTGAGGAGTGTTTCCATGTCGAACCTATTACGGGTTTTTATGCCAAATGTAAAAGCTTGGTAAAAAATACAGAAAAAAACAAGTTTATTGGCCATTTACTCTTTGTAGGTCATTATAAACGTTAACACACACACACACACGCACACACGCGCGCACACACACACACACACACACACACATACCAAACTCATGCTTCTGCATGGATCTATTAAAACACTCACGTTCTATTACCAGCTTTGCATCCAGGTTTGCAGAAATAAAGAATGTCAACATCTAAATCCGGGGTTTTCAAAATTCAGATCTTAAAAAAAAACATAAAAAGAAAAAGAAATCTTTTTTAAAGCAGTCCGGTTGGAACACGCGAGTTAATAAATATGTTTTACGCGAAAAAAAAAGTTTAGACCAAAATTCACGGCGAGAGATTTATTTGAAATTCTGCGCGCGAAGTCCAAAACGTCACGGGTCATTCCGAAAGGACCATCTCGGTCGTGAAGGTGAAGCCGATCCACCTTTCCTCCACATGCCCTAAATACCGAGAGAGAACAAGTGGAAAGGAGGTGACTCCCGACTAAATCGCTTCTTCCGCCGTCAATACTGCTCTAACGTTTTTGCGCGTAAATGTTTTTTTCTTTTTTGGCACGTTTGTTTTAACCAAGCTGGCATTTATTTTTCTTTGTAGGTTTTTCAAGGAACCCCTATTAGCCTCGAATGGCAGCCGGAGAACCTTTCTCGGTCTTGGCACTGATACAGTACAACAGTGAAGAAGTAGACCTCGCAAACGATCATTTGCATACTAGGGAGCGCTTGGCTCGAAGTTACACAGCAGTGAGCGGTTGTTCACTGCTGTGTAACTAAAATAGTGCTTAAAATGAAAGAACTCTTCAATTAGGTCCAGGAACTTCGATACCTCGAGGAACCCTTGAGGGAATTCCTGGGAATCCCTGGGTCTTTGGAAACCAAGTTTGAGAACCTAGGGTCTAGATATGTGGGCGATTCATAATCTTACAAAAAAAGGATATCCCTCAGTGTTGCGGAAAAAATGTGGAGTATTTTTTTTATAGCAAGGGAGATTTCTAACATAAGATAAATTATTATAAAATGAATGCGCCTTTTATAGCTATATACCCATAGCCGTAAAAACTCGCATACTCTCATGAATAATGATTATGAGCGTCTTGGGAAGGGAGTCTGCAGGCTACGTAACTCTGAAAAAAATACGTTTTGGCTTGAATAGCCAATATGCAGCTTTACGCGTCGGATTTCCCCCTTCCCCCCTCTCCCCAGACTGACAAATATTTAAAATATTTCCTGGTTTGCCATGTTTTAAAAACTTTCATAACATCTGTTTAAGACGTGGCAGCTGTACCTTGTCATCAAACCCTGAACAAAACTTCCAACATGGCTGAGGAAATGCAGGTTTTGTCAATTTGAGCTTTTTTATGTCAGGCAAAGAGTAATTAAATATAAAAGCCGCTTGGACATTTGTAGAGCCGTAACTGATGTTGTTTTAATTCTTACGTATATCCGGGAAATGTGAATATGTTGGTAAACATATCTCTCCGCAACGCAGGGTTAAATGTTGCAAACTGCGAACTGCGTGATATGTAGAGAAATCACTTTTATTCTAAGGATCTAGTAATTCGAACAAATCAAGCTCATCACCTTAACTTCTTTTAATTAATGAGATAGAAATGTTTCTAAGTGTTTATGAAGTTTTATGGGTAGTTTACAAACTGTTCTTATTTTTTGGTCTCTCGTTTTGAACGTTTTTTTTTTTTTCATTGTTAGGAACTTCATAAAGCAAACTAGTGCGCTTGTTGACAGCGTGATCCTCATTGTCCCCCTCCCCCCCCCCCCCCCCCATTTAGTTGAGCCATAAAATAAATCATGGTA